CCTCTGCCCTGGCCGCCCCTCCTCCTCCCGCCCGGGTTCCTGGGCGCCTGTGAGATCCGGGGAGCCGTCCATGGGAACGAACAGGACGCGCTCCCTTCCCCGCCCCCTGCGCACCAGCGGAATGCTCCGGGGCGGACGGGACAGCCCCCTCCCCAGGGGCGCAGCCGTGAGGTTGGGATGGCATCGCGCTGTGGTCTCATCCCGAAAGACGAGATGGGTGGATGCGGGAGCGGACATGCGCACAGAGCCCGGCGTGCCGCGGGCGATCGCTCGTTATTGTTATTCGTTACTGTTTTTTAAGAGTGATCATAAGGCCCTCGCTCTCGCTGAGGACTGTTTATATTTGGTTTTGATTTTCTGTCAGTCTCTCATTTCAGTGGTTTCAGAAAGTGGAAACACCAAAAAAGTATTAATTCCTCACAATAATTCTGCATGTGGCATTGATCAGATGTCAAAAAGATGCTGTTATTTTACCAAGTTTTAACCCATGAACTTGTCGAAGGCTTGGGTCTTGTGAAATGTCCTCATTTACCTCCGTCTGGCTTCTTAAAGTTCAAAAAACTTGGCAACATAATTAATTATGGTCCCAATTCCCATTTTCAATCTAAACCTGTATTTAGGATTATATTAAAGTATCCCATCTTTTATCCTTTCAAAGGGACTCTGGTGAGTTTAAATTCTTGGGGATGGGTCAACTGGGAATGAAGGGCTCAGAAGTTTGAGAAATTAGTACTATTTCAGATTCATCTAAAAAATCTTTTAAAGAAAGATATTACAAGTGCTTTCTCTGCACAGTTCTTAACTTCAATGAATGTCCTTAATCTTTACCACACGCTCGAAACATAACAGCTTGCAGCTTTGTCTGTATTATTGTTTTCATTTTTATGTCAGGACGTTTTATTCATTAAACCTGTGTCGAAGCCACAGGCTCAGCGTGGCAGTAACACTCTGTTTTAATTAGTAACTATCATAAAAAAGAAGCTAGAAACTCTGTAATGGGCCTAAATTGCTATGAATTATGTGTGGTTTAAATTACGCCTTTATTTCAACAGAAATGAAACCATGAATATAAAACATCTTTTAATCACTTGCAGATACAGCTTTTATCTCTTAAGATGTAACAAAAGATATAATTGAAAAGTATCCTCTTAAGAATGAGGGCAAACCCCGCCGTCAGCTTATTAGTCCTGGATCTGTCGAACGTTCATGTGGTCAAGTATGAATGTGAAAAAGTGAACAGTCACGTTTCAACCTGGCAAACCGAGCCGAGGCGACGCTGCATTCCCAGGGGCCGCAGTGGGTCAGCCTTCGGAAAGTGAACGGAGCGGCGTTGTGAGCCTGGCGATTCAGATTTTAGTTTCTCACTGGGATTTACTGACCAGGCTCTCTGTGTGGTATGGGGAAAATATGTGTTGTAAAACTAACAAATTATTTGAAATGAAAGGGGAAAAGGTAGAATTAAAATATATCTGTTACCTTCCTATGCTCGTTTCTACAGTAGTTTGCTTCACTCTTTTGAGAGGTCGGAATTTTTATTCTAAAACTGTTTTTGTCGTGATGGTGGTCGGGACAGGACTTTTTCATTTTGCTTGATGGATGAGTAGGTGGAAATGGAATGATTACGCCTGAATTAACAGATAGCACAGGAGTAGTGTGAATTTCACATTATCTGCACCGGTAAAAATTAGTCTCTCTTCCTTAGTTTTCCCTGTGTTAAGATG